TGATATTTTCATATCCTACCCTGTTGTCGAAAATACATTGAAAAAAAAAACAACATGCTCTGTCATTCTTTACTGGATCGGACAGTATGCTCTGCAAAACCGATACAATGCCCTGATTGAATTTTTCAGTTGAGTTCAAAAGCGATAACGTTTGCATTTTTCAAAAAGTTTGCCTTCAAGATGCCAATGGATTTCTTAAATTACTATTTTCAAGATAAGATCTTTAGTTTTGTTTTTCAATCAGAATTGGAAGTCGATTCATTGACAAGACAAGGTAAAGACAAATTTGATGCACCACTGAGATTAATAACAGACAGCAAGTTTCATCATATGAGCCAAATGATATAATTTAAGTTTAATTAACTTTTGTTTGTAAACTGATTGAACGAACTTCAAAAAAAATGATTTATGAATATTAGCAGAGTAATCAAATTTTGCACCATGATGGAATATGTTTTTTGTAAGACACCAATAGGAGTTAGTAATAAGAACATGCTTACAGTGCAAAATATAGCTTCATGATATTTGAAATTCTAAATTAGAGCTCAATCTATTCAAAGATTGAATTTAGACCTTATCAACTTCATGTGAAGAAAGTTTTCACTTATCATAGTAAACATATTAGAGAAATATTTATATCTCTGTGTTCTAGGTTCAGAATGATTTTTCAATTTTGAAAATAAACATACTTAAATGCTAGCTTTATGTCTTGAAGGTAATGATGTAATCGAGTAAGACTAGAAGAACTGAGTTCCCTCTAGTCCAATGAAGCTTTTAGCTTGTTATCAAACGAAGTTACACTAGCTATATTCGGCCTCCAGTCCTGCCACCGGACACAATCTAACTAGCTCAAGGCTCTCACTCTCTCTGTTTTCCACTGGCAAAATTCTGATTAGGCTATTATTTAAAGTAATTATTTCATCAAATGTTTAATTCTATTGAAAAGAATAGCAATAAAAAGATGATTTTGGAACCTTGAGTAGTAAAAATATAATGTGTATTATAAAATATAAGCTGAATCATGTTTTTTTTACTTATATAATTCCAACTCTATGATTTCAAGAATTTGTACTACAGCTATAAATATACTAAGAACTCCGAATAGGTAATGGTAGATATCTATTATTAATCAGTTTCAAAGAAATGCATTATTTCTTTTTTTCTAATTGAAATATATTCTAAAAAAAGAATTTTATGACGTCTTGAGTTTTTCTCCAATCTAAAAGCATTCAAACCTAATTTCATTGTTTCAAATAGTTTTTCGATACATCTATTTTGCGTTTGCAGACTACACAAATAGATTCATGTAAAGAGTTACTAACATACAAAACAGATAATATTAAAAAGTAAAAATTATAAGGTGAAAAGGCGTTAACTTCTGTAAAAATTTATTAGTAAGTCAAAAACTATGTAGAAAATGAGAATTCTTTTTGATGAACTAAATATAAATAAAGTTTCTTCTTGAAGTTGATGTTAAATAGAAAAATTTGATAGATATCGTAACTTATTTTAGACCTAAACTAATAACATTGGTCTGGTAGTTTCAATCTCCTTGATTGCTTTTTTTTATATCTAATGACTTTTCCTGATATTGCTAGCAACATGTTTTCTCCTACATCGATCGTATGTTTAGAACAATAGGACAACTACTTTTTATAAAATAATGATTCATGAAGTTCATTATATCATCTGTAATAAAGAAAGATTAAATTGATGCTATAAATTTTCTTTTTAGAAAACAAGTTTGTTAGAGAACTCATTTATCAAAGAAAAAGAAACTAATTAAAATATGAATATTATTTACGACTTAATATTATTCAAAGAGGTAGCTTTCCTCATTTATTCATTTCAGTAATATTAATAAGTAGATTAACATAAGGTTGAGTAGATGATTTAAATGCGTGATAAATATTAACAAGAGGAAAAGTAGATACTTGAGAAAAAAAATGACAACTATATATAGTAAAGTAAAAATTCGAAAAATATGACATTCGACCTAAAAAAGAATAATTAATTCTATTTCAACTTTATATATATGTAGGTAAGAATGGACGTGCTTATCAATATAAAGTCATGCACAATAACATTTTATATAAGAAAAATTCTTGTGTTTCTTTATTCACATTTGATTATAAACTCTTAGAATGAAGTTGTTCTAAATGATAGACAATTTTTGAGGGCGGATTAGACATGTGCGGGATCAGAAGCGAAAAAGTTTTTAGTGCCGTACATGTCCGCCGTCGACATGAAACATAGGAAATACGAGTATTCAAGAACTATTTCAGATCCAAAATCGCCAGATTCTGCAACAGTTTCTCTGAATATGAACAAATAACAGGAAAACTAAGGTTATTAAGACTGAGAGTAAAATTAAAACAAAATTTAACCGAGTCCGGGACTAAAAAACAGATTTTTACCGGAACCGGGACCGAAGAATTTTTACCGAGACCGGGATGAGATCGAGACCAAAAAAGTTGGTTCCGCACATGTCTAGTGCGGATTCAGTGCACACAGTAAATTAAGGCACGGAATGAAAATATTCCAAAAATTTGTTTCTAGAACTTAACCTATAAGGTGGCATACACCAATGAATCGAACGATGGTATTTCGAAATTAAAGTTTACTTATTTGTAAACAGAAGTTATTGAAATTTCCAGTTCAAAAGAGTGTTTCCTTTACGAAATATTGAAATCTCGAAAAACATAAGATTCTTTAATCTTCTATGAAATATGAGTAGATGGTTTTGGGAAATTCAATATCTCGTAAAGAAAAGTTTTTTTTTCAACTGAAAGTTTCGACAAATTCAATTTACTAATAAGCAAACTTTCAATTCGAAATATTATCATTCAATTTGTTAATGTATACCGTCGTATCAGTTGAAATTTCAATAAAATGACAATAACTCGAGGCGGAAGTATGCTCATCTTTTTTACATTTTTTAAAATTTGCTAGGATCTACTTTATGCACAGAGTCCAAACTCAAGAACGATTACCTGTTTATTTGAATTTGATAAGTCATCTAATGAAATCTATATAGTCATTTAATACTATCGATCATTTCAACTCATTTGACCAATTTGTTCAATAAATACAAATCGAAGCAGAAACGACTCAAAAGTATATCTTTATATATATTTTCTTGTTTAACAATACAAAAATTTTTTTAAAATGGAACAGTCTATAGATCAGTGGTTAAAAAATTATATTATCGAAGAGGTACAAAATATGACCGATTGCATAAATAAGAATAGAAGATGTAAGGGTACACATTGATTTATTTTATTTTAGAAAGATTATAATTACAGATTTATATCTATATTCTAAAGATGTGTTTTATCGATTCTAAGACTTGCCGAATAAAAATTTATCATTCTTATCTTGATTTTATTTAAAAACAGACTTCAAGAAAACCGATCTTGATGACATATAATTGCAATTTCAAAATACTGACTTTCTCCGTAGTTAAGCTTCATTTATATTTTTCTGTTCTGCGTCATATGAAACTGCTAAGATCATTGTACTCATTTTTCATCTTGAGAAAAAGTCATTTTTCTATAGCTTCTCAAAGGTAGTAGTATGTCGTTATTAGTTTTGTATTGTAATAGGTAAATAGACTTATATATATATGTTAGGTCAAACTTGGAATTCGGTCAAATTCTAAATTTGTCCAAACAAAATCAGACTTTTATTTTCATGAACTGTAAAAATGAGAAAAAAAGCAACACTACGAATACGAGTGGAATCAAAACTGATGGTGAAGACAAGAGGCAGGTACGAGTAGAGTGAAGACGTCTGGGTCTATATCCGGAGGTCGCGAGTGAAATTAGAGTGATTATCGTGTAAAATGTTAGTCCTACTCAAAAATGCAACCTTACTAAGAAATTCTTCACCTTCACCAAGACTACCTGCGGCGATCTTACTTAAAATCTTCTTTCTGACTCTCATCACCATCCTTGGCCTCATTCGTGTTTTTGGTATTGATTTTTGCTTAGTTTTATAATTCATCCAAATAAAATTCTAATTTTGTCCAGTCAAAATTAGAATTCCAATTTTATCCGGACAAATTTAGAATTTCACCAGATTCCAATTTTGACCGTAACATATATATATATTTAGTCTGTTGTTATTATACAAGATGATTGATTTACGTAATAATTCAGATTTTGAATAAACGCCGTACATGACAGGAAATAATTAGTTTCAATATGATTGAAAGATAAAAAGAGTATATATGATGAAATTGAGAATTTATTAACAAAAATAGGAGAGAATATTATAAGAAATAAAAATGAATGAATTCTTCTGTCAGGTAATACAAATATATCTTTTGAGATGTATAATTGTGAAGGCATAATTGAAAATGATTGATTCAAATATTTCTCATAATCTCTGTTATGTATGAAGTGGTTTTTAAAGTTCCACCTTTCAATCATAAATAAACTTAGCAACAAATATATTTTTACTAAGATTTATTAGGATACAACACATAAATAAAAATAAAAATAAAAAGACTCGAATTAGATAAGTCAAGAAATAAATATTTCAACAATTGTGTTTATCAAAGTTGTTCATTTAGTGCTAAATATTTTCTCATAGAATATTTTTACAGAAATCTATTCTATCATTATCTATTTAAGATAACTGGAAGTTTCAGTGCGACTTAAATCTTTATTTTCTATAGAACCCTTGATATTTAAGGTGTGTTATTGGAATAAATTGTCTGTTAGTTTTTTTTATTGGATTACTAGATTTAACATACTATTTGCATGTTACATTTATTTTGGTAAGAAATACATACAATTTCTTTTACTATGATGATCATCGAACGAGTTTTTGAAAGCATTATTCTTGCTTTCTCTTCACTCAGTTTTTTTGTTTCTCTTATAACTCTGATCTTAATTCTTATTCGTATTCGTCCATTGATAAACAATGTTTTAATTCTTCTTATATGTAATACTTATATTACATTGATTGGATCTAGTTTTATGACACTTTTGGTAATGGCTTATGGTATATATGATGATCTTAATCCATTTGTTTCTTTTGATGATTATTATTGTCAATTACGTTCTTATATTAATTATGTTTTTATTTGTGCTTTTTATTATTCATGTATGTTACAAGCAACATTTCGTTTATGTCGAGTTGTCTTTCAAAAACGAAAAGTTTTACAATCACGAATCGTTTTCACAATAGCAATAATTATACAATGGCTTATATCAATTTTGTATATACTTTCATATCTTCTTTTACATGATTTTCAATATCATCCTGATATAAGTAGTTGTTGGCTTTCTTTTAAAAATATTCGTGGTCTTGCCATAGCTCTATTATTGGTATATGGTAGTCCTCTAATTGTAATGACTCTAATATATATTTGTATAGTTCGATTTGTTCGTCACACCATTCCTACTCAACAAATACGACAAAACGCAAATAAACGAGATTTACTTATTGTTAAGCGTATTATTATTCTTGTTTGTATTGCTATGGCCATTGGTATACCAACAATATTCCTTTTGATTATCTACATTTTAACCAATTATTTAACTCCATTAGCTTATCATATTCAAGCATTAAGTTTAACAGGTGGTCTTGCTGCCGCATCAATTGCTATGGGATTCATAACACCACAAGTACGAGATATATTTAAAGTGAAACGACAAACCAATCCTATTATCGCTGTTGAAATTGCTTTAGAACGAAAAGAAACAACTTGTAAAAACACATGATACTTTAACTTTATCATTAATTTTCATTTTGTAAAAATCGAATTGTATCATCTATGTTTATATATGAAAAAATATTTTTGAAATAAATAGAAAAGAATGTGAAATATATTTTGACTATTTGCTATATATTTGTATTCATTGTATTTTATTTTGTGGAACACATGTATATTTTCAAAGAAAATAATAATGAGCAGAAGTTCAAATCGAAGTTTTTTAGCTCTCGCCATCCATCTTGGTCCTAACAACTGAGCTTAAAGGTCATGTCGTCCTAAGGTGTGTATTTTTTGTATAGGACGCAACATATACTTTTCTTGCTCAGAAATTATTGCATATGACGCAGAACAGCATTGTTAACAAAAAAAAGAAAAACATTTTTCGGAAAAATATTTTTCGAGGAAAAATGCATGAGGGGGAACCTTACTCTCATTTTTTTAGGATATTGTTTTCAAAATTGTTTTGTATTATATACCATTCAATATAGACTAATGCGCTGATTCCGAACATACTATTTTGTCGATTAAATATGTTTTCGAAACTTACTTTGCTGCTGAGAAACGCTTGCGCAAACAAGTATTAGCGACAATAGACAGAGGAACATTCTGGTTAAATTTGGAAAAGTTTGGAGATTGGATTACTCATTTTACGAGACTAGTCGTTCGGACGACACTATAGAAAAAAATAGTTTTTATTATTGTATAGAGTTCAATTTTTAAATTCAAAAAATCTACTTGATTTGTTTGTCAAGCAGTTTAATTTTGTCAGATATTCATTTTCATGCTGATTTTTGATAAAACGAGTTTTTAGCTTCTATGAGATTTTGTTACATAGTTATTTATATCTTTAGATAGACTATATTTCGAAATATATTCAAATCTTAAAGAACTGTCATTTTCATTCTGTCTACCCGCATTCATATTGTACTCCCATTACAGAGCTTAGTAACCTGAATAACACCATTAAGAGTAAGATTTAGAAGGTTCTAGAACATGCCAGAATCTTTCGTGAAATCAAAATAGCTGGAATACGTTTTTTTCGAATGTTCTTAATAATGTAGTTTTTGATTTTTGCGCAGATATACGATTATATGATAGATATCAAGGATAATGTTTTCTGTCTTTCTAAATTCAAACGAGATACATAAAAGATCGTTAAGACTTGCTGTCAATATAACGAATGTATACAATACACTTATTTGTCTATTAAAATCAAAGGTTAGACGAACAATAATAGATTATGAAAATGAAATAAAAAAGGCAATGTGTTTGCTGATACATAATTATTGTTGGAAAAGAACTATCATCTTTTAGAGACTTTAAACGTTACTTATTTCTTATCAGTATAATGAAGTTGACTAAGACATTTAAGTATTACATTTCAGTCCCCAAGAAACTATACTAACAAGCTTTCCTAAAATCAACACAATCAATCTATTAATATTCTCAATCCTATTAATATATATATATATATAGTATGTTAAATATTATATACCTATATTATAAAATAAACAAAACATTTTCATTTATAGTTGTTGTTCTTTCTGTATACAATTACCATTGAACAGAATCAAGCATTTTTCTACTCTAAGTGATAGTTTTTTTTTTCATATGAATCGAGATTATTATTTCGAAGTATTAGTGCTGTAACGCCTACATTGATTATATATAATTATGGGTAAAATTTATTGGTTTTTATCATCATCCAACATGTGTTTTCTGTTCTCAAAAGAATAGCAATATAGATTAAAACGTTTTTTTCTTCAATGGAACAAATATTTTTAAAAAAAATATTATTCGATTATCATCATGCGTTTAATAACCGTCGTCTGCTTATTATTTGTTGCTGCTTTTCAAGTAAAATTTTTTCGTTAAATAATATTGAAATTCTTCATTAATTTACATACAGGTAAATGGTCAAGATGTTAGTGCGATAACCTCAGGTGTTTTTAATCAACTTCTTAATTCGGTTGTATCACAATGGGGTAATATGTCATCAACGGATCTAACTGCATTCATCGATAAATTGACTAAACCAGGTTTACAAAAAATATTTGCAATTTTATTAATTCATTCTTCGTTTCAATATAGGCGGTTTGAATCATATATGGAATGCAGTTGATTCTCATTGCAATACCCATTTTGATTGTGGTCCAGACGCATGTTGTCTTAAACCAACTCATCTTGGAAAACGTGGTTTTACTGATGGAAGTAATGTTTATTTAAATGAAAAAACAAATTACTTTATTTTAGGTTCTTTTTCTTTTTTCTTTTTATTTTTCAAGTCAATTTACACATGTCAAGTTATTGTTCACCTTTAAAAAAAGCAGGCCAGACATGTTCACTTTTTCATAGTGGTGAAACAACATCAACTTTTAGTTGTCCATGTGCAAAAGGATTCAACTGTGTTCCTGCCCATACATTTCAAATCCATCCATTGATTAGTATTCATAAAGAGCCTATTTGCCAAGTTGCTTAAAATATAATAAATGATGATAAAATAAAATACAAGTGAACTATGATCGTTTGTTTCTCTTTTCTTTTTTCTAATTATCATTATTGAATAAGACAAATTAAATTATTCGGATAAGAATCTTTAGGTCTTATTATTTCATTAAATATTATTGACAGAATAATTGATTGTTGTATTGATGATTTAAAAGAAAACAAAATCTTTGTTTTTCGAAGTTTTTCGTAATTAGAAAAATCAATTTCGTGTTTACAAGAACTTGCTTGTACTAAACTCGAAAAATTCACTAAGACAAAATTTTTACATATGGATTATTTCATAGATTTGCTAGTATTAATTATTAAACTCGAGATTTTTTGATAAAACTCTTTGTACTTAAAAGTCTATCTGAAAATCAAGTATAACACAATTTGCTAGATCAAATATTTTGTTGTATCCTCTGAATATATAAATTTATTTCTATTATATTAAATGACTCTTATTATAATTGCAAAAAAATCTTGATAATTTATTTCCGGTAGTATATAATTGATTTCAACGTCTAAATACATGTATATATTTCTCTTGAATATGTTCGAACATACAAGAAACACAAAACACAATGCTAATAAGAGAAAAATGTTACTTCTTTTATCTTGGCAAAATGCTTTGAAAATTTGTCGTAAATATTTTCTTCTTATTAGATAATATGATCTTTATCAGTTATTTCATATTCCTTAATTGAATTGTACATTATCAATAGGTGGTCGATGAAATTTGGTTGGTTAAAAAAAATATCAATTTCACAAAAATTTTTTTATTTTGTTTTAATTAAAAGAAAAACACAGTTTGTCTAATATAATAGAAAGAATAAAAAAATCTGTCCAATTTAAAAATTTCCTTCTTTTTTTTGTCATTGAAAGCAATGAAGCGAAACAAGATGTGACATAAATGATATACCATGGCACTGTTCTTCTTCGTCTTTTTTTGCTTGTCACTTTCTGTAGTTTAATTTACGTCTCTTTTTTTTTCTCTTTTCTTCTTCTTCTGCCGCTAGTAATCGTAAAATGGCAGTTGTGCTCTTCCGAAAACGACCTCCACGTGAGAGAAAATGTGGTGGCAGAGAGAACACAGAACAGCAGTAGTCACAGTCCATTCTATCATATACCATCATCTTGATTCTTACACAACATAACGAACGAAACGAAATCGAAATTGTAAACGATATATACATATATTTTTTTCTTTTACGTTTCCAATTATTATTATTATTATTGGCAAGTATGTTTTATTAAATGAATTTTTCTTATATTTGAATTCTATGAATTTTTTTTCCTAGTGTATGCATATATCTTTTACATTTTCTTTTCTCTTTATTGTTTTTAAAAATGAAGTGTGTGTGTGAGATACTGTGGTGCTGCTCTCTCTTCAGCCATTAAAAGATAAGATGGTTTATCAGTCTCTAACTGCTGACTGCCTTCTTATGTCAACAAAAAAAAACAAAAAGTTCCATATACCCCATTCATATATTTCAGAATGAATCAAACTATTCTAAATGTCAAATCACTTTTGTATTGGATCGATGCCTATACACTATGAATACTCTGAAAAGAGTTTGGACTAGCAATTTATTATTTTCACGATACTATATTTTTTTAACATAAATTCCTTGGGTCAGAAAAAAACAAATTTTGAACTGGAAATTTTGCATAGGTATTGGTTCTTATGAAAATAGTTTATTGTAAAGGTTTGAAACTTTTTGATTGCTTCTATCCCAAGATATACCTGTGGTAATAGCATGTTTTCACATCTTATTTTAGAATAGATGCAGTCAAAAATTTTGTAAACTTTTACAATAGACGATCCTTATTAAGATATATTTCGATGCAAAATTTCAAGTCGAACCTTAATTTTTCTTTGGAGAATTATAGTAATGATCAGCTATTAGTCCGAACTTTTTTTTTTATTTGATTGATATAGTTCTGACTTAAAAGTAATTTGACACTTAGAAATATCCTCTCGTTAGTAAGAGAACAGAATATTGTTGTCATTGAAAGAGTAAAAAAGAAAACGGAAGAAAATAATGATGATATATAGGAAAGAGGTAATCTCCTTTTTTGTTTACTTCATAGATTTTCGTTCACAGACTAAATCTGAAAGTAAACATGCGGAACGTTGTTTTCTGGAATTCATATGTCTCTTCTTCAATATACACAATGTTCATGTTAAAGAAGTATAAGAAGGAATAATCCCTTTCTCCCGTCTTCTTCCTTTTTTTTCACTTTGTGTTATAGTAGGCTTCTTCCATAATCTCTGACCTTTTTTCGCAGGCCGCTCTTGTTCTTCTTATTCGTTCCCGTTTTCTTTTTTTCTTTATGTGCGTCATCTTTTTTTTCTTCTTCTCTCTTTTGTATTCGTTTGCGCTTCCCAAGAACGTGTCTGCTATGAAAAATGTCAAGCTTTAGAAGACAATCGTACACTGTATCATCGACAGTGAAGATATGATCATCTGATGATGATTCTCTGCGTCTTCTTGTTCTTCATTTCGTTTGAATTTCTTTCTTTTTTTTTTCTTCTTTTTCTTCTTCTTCTCCCAATTGTTGACACAATACAACGACAAAATTCCGAGTCAGAGAGAAACGTACACACACACACACACACACATACATTTACTCTGAACATTGGCTTTGCTTCCTCCTACTATTATCAACCTCCTTCTTTAAGTATAACATCTCATTGTCAATCCTTTGAATGTGCAACAATGTTTCCTACAACGAAAAGTGTGCGTCAGGGATCTTTTCTTTTTCGTTTTTTTCTCCTCTTTTTTTTACATTTACTGTTGTTATTCTAATCGTAAAGCATCAAATCGCGTGCATACATATTTATGATGTGTTGCGGATGTATCTCTTGAAAATGAATGACTATTTTATACATATATTTTACCGTAGGGTATATTTCTAGTTGTCATCACACCTATCTGTCTTTTATATAAGCATTCTATTGGAGAGAGAGAGAGACAGAGAGAGAGAGAATCGAAGGTGCTTATTTTCAATTCCACACGCACCAATCCTACTGTATATGTACACGCATATTTATCTCCTTGTTTTTTTACTCTCTTTCTCCTATAGCCACCAATCTGCCTAAAGCATTGGTCGTTTTGCCGCTATATATGGAAAAGACAAGGCGAGAGATAGATAGAGAAGGTATGTAAAGAAGAAGAATAATGGATGGGTGTCATCATGATTTGCGACGAATCGACTGATGGGTAATGTTTTTGCAGTCAGACAGGTAAATAAAAAGAAAGAAAGAGACAGTGATAAGAAAAGAGAAGAAGAGAAAGTACAGAGTCAGCAGCATAACAATAATATAATGTTGGTGGCAGTTATTAAGAATCCATTCACCCGTGACCATTGAATATGTTAGCGATTGGTAGAACTCTGTCTTAGTACCTCCCATTCTCTTAACATTACCGTTGCCTGTCTATCTCTATCATCTCTGAGCACATCGATATATAAAGCAAAAAAAGATGAGAATATTACAGTGTAGTCATTGAAAAAGTGACAGAACGAACAAACGAAATAAATGTCCAGTACATCACCGGTTCGCTTCTTATTCTCATAATTATCTATCGGTGAATGCACATATACACAGAGAACAGCAGTGCAGATTTCTCTTTCTCATCGAAATGGATTTTTTTTGTCGTTCTTCTGATTTATATTCGATAGATTGAAAGGAAGATAGGAAAAGAAAGAAAGAGACAGACAGAGACACAGATTGATGCTTTCTCTTTTTTCTGTCATTTGTTGTTTATTATCCTTCTTATTCATAAGATAGCACGAAAAACAATGATGCTTGCTACTGATGATGTTACAGAAGTAGTCAATACTTCTTTCTTTAACAGGTAAGGTAATATATATACGTCTATACTTTTTTTTCTCTTAAATACAATCGTAAAAAGAAAATGCGAAGGAGAATGATCCTGTTTTTTTTCCCTTACCTTCATGATTTAATCATTCATGATACAAAAGAAGAACAATAAATAGATAGAGAGAGAATGTGAGCATGTCAACGTCAGCTGCCGCCAGCAGAAACCAGAAAGGATAAAAATCAAAGTCAATGATCCGTATCGGAGCAGCGTAGAGAAAGAGTTGGATTGTCGTCATACGTAAATACGACTGCTACTTTTTTCGTTTCGTTTTATTTTTTTTCTCTTTGCTTCGTCTCATAATCGATTGGTTTGATCTGTAACAAAAATAGAATAAATTATTGATGGCATTAGTTCTTCTGTTTTTCTGATTGGTTAGAAATAAAACGAAAAAAAAAAAAAAAATAGTAGCCTTTTTTTTTCCTTGGTTCCACCCATATTCGAACGTGCTTTAAACGATTATATTTGATTTCCGGGTGAAAATTTTTTTTTTCTCTCTCTTATTTATGTACACAAATTTTGTCGTGTGTACGTGATCTTTATTTCTTTTCTATTAACATTCATTTCTATTTCTTTTTCTAGACAAAGACATCAATATCATCATTGTGATAATAATCATATTAATCAAGCTATGCAGAGTTTTCCTACCAATTCAGATGATATCAGGTAAAAAAACAAAAACGAAATCTTCTTGTGTTTTTTTTCTATTCGATTCAATGATATTTACATGTCATGTCTAGAGGGATTAGTTCCATCCTATGTATACATAAGTCTCGGCATCATTCTTTATTATCAGTAGTGTAGTACCAGTACTAGGCGCTAATCCCTGTTCATTTCATTTTGTGTATACATGAGAAAGATCTGGTGTCATTTGAAATTGAACTAACATAAAGTAATTAATCGTATGTTGAAGACTAATGGAAAATGCATTTTCGTTTTTTTTTCCTCTCTGTTAAATTATCGATGCGTGTCCAACTGTATATATATATATAAATATATTTAAAGAAATATACCTTTCGGCGAAGTATTTTACTTGATATCGGTACTAGATAAAGAGAATGTCTTTTTCTCTCTCTCTTTTTTTTTTGTCAACTATCTTCAATCA